GTGAGCAAGACAGACAACACCCTATCTCAGATGTCCAGCAGAAGTCCCTTCTTTCCTCGGGCACTTTCAAGGATTCTGGAGCTGCTTTGTATTCCATTTACAGTCCTAGCACAAAATGCACACTCTGGCTCATGGCCCCAAGGCAAGCACACAATGCTGTTTGATTGTATTTGCCTTTCCCATAACCCTGCGAGGTAGGCCACTGCAAAGCCCATGAAGCCTCTGGGGAAACCGAGGCCATCTTGAGCAAGGCCGCTCCACCCAGCTGATTTAGCTATACCTTCAAGGGCGGAAGGCAACCTCGGCTGCTAATGCCGGGCTTAACCAACACAATGGGAGACTGCGGGCAGTAAATTTTTAAGCGGCTCACAGTTATCAGAATTCACCCAAAGAACCTACAACAGAGGTGGGAGAGCAGCGGGGGCTTCCCAAATCCAAGGCCGGGGTCTCTGGTTCCAGCGTGATGCCACTGTCCCCTGAAAGCAGGGGGCAAAAAACATTTGAAAGGGTGAAATAAGAAGCCACCAGTCATGCCCTTCGAACATCCGATGGAGTGAGCCACCTCCCCGCCCGTAACCTCACTACAACTGATTCTAGACCATTGTGCAGACAGCCTGTGCACCAGAGAGGGGCCAGGTGATTCCAGACGGCTCAGGCAAGTGAGCCAGGCTGCATCCAGCTGAACCCCAATGCCCAGGGCCTCAGATTCCGAAGGGGGGAAACTCTCTCTCACCTCAGAGGGATCTTGATGGCCAAGTAACGATCCACAGCCACGGCCAACAGGCTGAAGATGGAGCTCTGGGTGAGCACCAGGACGAAGCAGGCCAGGAAGAGGCAGCAGTGGAAGTTGGTGTGGAAGCCGATGCTGATGGTGATGGCGAAGGGGATGGCCAGGAGCCCCACGGCGATGTCGGCCACCGCCAGCGAGACCAGGAAGTAGTTGGTGGCGTTCTTGAGGGTGCTGTTGATGGCCACGGCCCAGCAGACCAAGACGTTGCCCGCGATGGACAACACGGCGATGCAGAGCTCCACGGCGATGTACACCTGATCCATGCTCTGGGGGGCGACGGGGGCCGCCGAGGTGACAGTCATGTCAAGGAGGGGGCCCTGGCCACGCCGCTGCCTGAGGGCACGGGGAGCGGCCGGCCGGCCGGCGAGGAGGAAGCGCCCATCGTGCCAAACAGACCCCTCAAGGGCAAGCCCGGGGAGACAGGCCGGCCAAAGGAGCCAGACCGGCCCGGCCTCCTTGGCGCCCGCCCCACTGGGAGACGTCCGCAGCCATCGCAGAAAGAACAGCCGCCGCCTGAACCCCTCCAAGCGCCCCCGGGGAAGGGAGGAGAGAGAGAGCCAACTGTCCGGCTGCCAAAACTCACTGATCCCGTCCGGGCAATGGGCACAGCCCGACTCCGCCGGGCAAGGATGGCGCCCGCAGAAGCCCAGAGGCGCAGCTCCAGGAACCAGCCGGCGCCAGGGGGACCACCGGGGAGCGCGAGGCCGCCCTCCTTCCAGCCGCGGGGCCACCCGAGACGCTCCAAACGGCCCCCAGACCCTCCGGGACGCCCCGCCGGCGGAGTCAGCGCTGACTGCTACGGGCACAGCAGCCTCTTGCGCGGCTATTTCTGCACATGGACAAGGAGAGGCGGAGCCCCCGGGAGCTCGGCGCCCGATTGGCCGAGGCGCGCCACCCAACCCCGCCCCTCCAAAGTTTTTACCGTAATGTTAGGATGTGACGCGCTTGAAAAAAAACACGCAAAATAAGTTCCTGGAAGGGAAGGTGGACGGACGCCTTGGATGAATCAGTCCTAGTGAGAGTCTCACTCTCAGCCCTGTTGGTAAAAAAGGCATACTGCCCAGCCTCTCAGGTTCGGCGCACTTTGTACTTGCGCAGAAACACGGAGGTCTGTGACGTCTGGAAGCGGCCACGAGGAGCCGGCAGCCTCCAGGTGGGGCCTGGAGATCTCCCGGAATTGCTACACAGATCTCCAGGCGGCACAGATCAGTGTTCTGGAGCAAATGGCAGCTTCGGAAGGTCGATTCTCTGGCATCATACCTTGCTGAGGTCTCTTCCCTCCCCAAACCCTGTTCTCCCCAAGCTCCAACCCTCAAATCTGCAGGAATTTCCCAACCCAGAGCTGGCAACCCAAAGCCTCTTACTTGTTCTTTGTTCCTAATTTCTTGCGTTTTCTACGGCTGAAATGTTAATTTCGTTAATTAGCCAAATACTCCCCCCTTTAAACTTGTGAAGTTTTTAAGGAGGCTGAAGTTGGTTCCCAGTTCCTTATTCGTGTATCCAACCACTTTTTCCTCACTGCTGCTGTGCCCTTGGAATACTTGCTGATATTTTACCATGCAGCAAAATGGTTATCTTTGTGATGAACCTCCCTGAGTTAAATTGGGGTTTTATTCATCTTCCTGAAATGCCCGTGGACTTTCTTCTTTTTATGCTTCAGCTAGTTGAAGAACGGGCTTGCTGCTCCTTTTGACCTACAGCTACTTTTTTTAAAAAAATCGCATTTATTCTACCATCATCAAATAGTTTATCAGTTAAAAGGTTTGCATGCCATTGTTGATTGGTTTCAAGAAAGATGCTTCAAGTATGAAGTCACATTTGAATAACGAAGAGCAAATATCCTGTTTTTTGACCTGATGAAGGGTTTTGTGAAACTTCAACGTTTGCACTGTTTTTAAATTAACCCCCCCCCTCCAAAAACAATAGCAGCAGCAGCAACACAGTCTGCATCTGGTATTGAACCTGATAAAGTTTGTTCTTCAAAAACTTTGAAGCATATTTGCAGCCCAACAGAGTGCTTTCTCTGTCCCAATATCCCAGGGCACCTCTCCCAGGTTTAAAGAGACACTTCTTGAAACTGCCCTTGCCAGTGTGTTTGGGCTGTTTATTTTGGGAGTGAGTTGCATGTTACTCATTTTCTCTCTCTCTTTCTAAGGCGGATCAAGCCTTCCCTGCAGGCTTTTGTGCTGAGAGCGGCTGGATACGCAAGACTGTCTATGAAGAGTCAGCTTGGAAGTCACTCTAGAGAATCTCTGACTCTAATGAGGCAGTCGCAAAACTCTGTCTGTCTGCATCCACACAGTAGCTTGGCTCCCTAGAGCAGCTTTTGGGGCATGTCAGGACCACATTAAAAAAAAAAATACACAGAGAAACATCTGCAGACAGAGGGAAGAGGCTTGGTGGTGGATGGGCAAGGAGTGGAATAAATGGGAGCAAGCTGGAATCCAAGTGATTGACAGCCCGATCCTACAAAGGCTTACACCCGTCTAAGCTCCTTCAGTTCAGTGGACTTTCCTCTGCTCTGGATCTGGTTGTAAGCAGGCATTCAAGGAGGCAGGAAAAATCAACACTTTTTTGGAAACTAGGTAAGGACAGCTTTCCCTCTCTCTCCAAGAGCCTTTATCTGAACGAGTAGAAAAGTTGCTCTTTTCAGTTCGTGCTGGAATGTGTTTTATGATACGCATATGAGATTCTTGTCCAGAGTTTATGGGCCGTGCTGGTTTTAAATAGCAGATTGCATTGTAAACAAGGAGCTCTGCTACTGGGAAGAAAGAAAGAAAGAAAGAAAGAAAGAAAGAAAGAAAGAAAGAAAGAAAGAAAGAAAGAAAGAAAGAAAGAAAGAAAGAAAGAGGCTGGCTGTGTTTTTTAAAGGATAACTAACACATAGAAGTGGATAGGTCTCTCTAGAAGCTATGACACATAAATTAGCTTAATCAAACCTCCATGTTCGGAGGCAATCTACCTGAGTACCGAACAGTGGGGGAGGTTAATTGTTTTTATACCCTTCCTAGAGGCATCTCTGCCTGGCCTCTGTTGGATGCAGAATGCTAATCCAACAAAGCAGATGTTCTGCAAGTTTAATGTTTAAACTTGATGAATTAAAAAAATACAAATTATAAACATTTTAAATGGATCCCCACCCTAAAAACAATGTTATATCAGTGTGAAGTTGTATACCCAAATCTAATTAGAACAGCGAAAAGGAACACTGGCACACAGAAAGCGGGGGGGGGGGAAGAAAGCTCCCAGCTATTAGTTTGATTAATGAACAGAATTAAAATGTAGACAAATAGTCTTTAATAATGAGTAAACTGTTACAAACATGTACTGCTTTTCATTGGTTACAGCTACAACCAAAGACGGGGCTTTGTATACAGTTTATACATCTATCACAATAATATGTCCAAGGAAGTCCTCCAGCCTCTTAAAAATATTTTTAATATAAACATACAAAATCTATGAGATAGTAAGGGAGAAATAAACATAAATTCACAATGCCTTTTAGAAAGACACAAGGAAACAATCTGTTATGAAACGTGTCATTCTGGTACGTCATAAAAGGAGTCCATCTTTCCACAACCTTGTCAGTACACGGTTCTGAATTTCCCCCCTTCATCTGCAGTGGTCTGTTAGGTCCGTTAAGTAACCCATGGTCCAGACAAAGCCGCCCAATTTGCTTGTAAAAATTCTATTTTCTCCTCCTCTCATATCTCCTCCAATGCAGAACGTTTTCGGCCTCCTTGGACTCCCAGCAACAGACTTCAAGGGTACATTACTTCTGGCCCCGCTGGTGGACCTCCCAGTAGCACCTGGTTTATGGCCATTGTGTGACACAGAGTGTTGGACTGGATGGGCCACTGATCCCACATGGCTTCTCTAATGTTCTTACCAGACTCCAGAGATGGTTCTGAGAGGGACTCCAATCAAAATCTGCTGAGCTGGAACATACATGCAGGTTTGACATGGTCGGGCTGCTCCTACAGGGAAACAGCTCTCCGCGCAGATCTTCTTGTTGCTCCAGGGCTATTTTTGGGCAGGAACGCACAGGAACGGAGTTCCGGCTGGCTTCAGAGTTAGCCACGCCCACTACAGCCAAAACCTCTCCGTGCCTGGCTACAGAGGGAAGGCCTGGAGAGCGACACACACACCCCAGCGACTCCAAGGCGGGTGGGCCAGGGGGGCCCCTGCAAGGATCTGGGAAGCATTTAAATGCCTCCCCATGCCTTCCCCAGCCTGTCCAAGGGCCGGCTTGCCTGGGCTCCCCGCAGCCATGGGGCGCCCGGGGAAGCCAAGGGAAGGCATGGGGGTGTGGCCTAATATGCTAATGAACTGCACTGTAGGGTGTGTGGCCTAATATGCTAATATGTTTCTGCTGTTGGGTGCAGCCTATTATGCTAATGAGTTCCTGCTGGGCTTTTTCTACAAAAAAGCCCTGTTGCTACCAATGTGTGGTGGCAACAGATTGTCCACACCAAAGTTTCCCCGTGCCTTCCCGTGCCTCAGCCACCTCTCCCCACCACCACCACTGGAGAGCTTGGCTAAATCACTGGAGCGTTACTGTCTGGGCAGCTTATTGTTTTCTAAGCATCAAAGAAGAAGAAGAAGAGTTTGGATTTATACCCTGCCCTTCACTACCCAAAGGGAGTCAGAGTCTCAGAGCGGCTTACAATCTCCTTTCCCTTCCCCTCCCCACAACAGACACCCTGTGAGGGAGGTGGGGCGGAGAGAGCTCTGACAGAAACTGCTCTTTTTCAATAACAGCTCTGACAGAACTACAGCTTGCCCAAGGTCATCCAGCAGGTGCAAGTGAAGGAGTGGGGAATCAAACCCGGTTCTCCCAGAGTAGAGTCCGCGCACTCAACCACGACACCAAACTGGCTCTCGAGTGAATGTTCCCTAACTTTCTTGGGCTAATATTTTACTCCCTTTTGTTTTCTACCTCCCTTTCCATGGACTGACAATGCATCTAAGCATGTAATAATAAGATTTTATACCTTGAATAAAACTATGTCTGTCTTAAAGGCTACCCACCCGTGAGCATCACGACGTTCTCATTGCCACAACCTCCCACTTCCGGGCTCCCATTTTAGAGAAGCAGGTCTCTAGCCCTTTGAGGTGCTGAGTTAGAGCTCAGCGAGAGCTGCAGATCTGCTTTTTTGAATGGCAGCTGGGAACTAGTATTCCCAAAGCCCTAAGCAACCCTCCAGTGTGGGGGGGTGGGTGGGTGGGTGGGCAGGAACAGCAGCCATGGGGGCTCTTGCAAGGGAAACAGTGTCGATGCGGGTGGGCCAGGCAAAAATGGACTCCTTCCTGTCCACGTGACATCCCGAGGCACTCTGCTTGTGATCGTCCCCCCTAAGGATCATATGCAGTTTCACCGCTGGAGGAGACCGCCTGCAAATCTTTTGTGCGGCAAGGCATGGTCAGTGTCCCTTGAGGACCCTGCAGCCAGGCCGATGATCAAATAAAAAGCCCCAGTTCTCCCAGACAGCAGAGGAGTATCCCGGAGCAGGACCTTACAGGAGTGGCCCCTTACC